CTTGGAAGGAAGATTGGGCAATCTACTTCTGTAGTGGTATTGCCTCAGAAACCCAAGGAGGGGTCGCTATGAGTCTGATCCAAGTCGACAGCAGTGAGTTAGTGAATTTTATTTATGGAAATCAGAATGGTGTTTACATTTGAGGTACTAAGTAGAAATGGGCACAAGAGACCCTCTTTGGTGGTGGTTACACAGGTATATGCATATTGACAAATTTATCAAGTATACACTTAGGATTATGGAAGTTATACCTCATAATTTTAAAAAAATAAATAGTTAACAGATGCAGTGAGGCCAGGAAAAAATTAGAATATGTGTTTCTCATAGAGTTCATTCTTATCTTTTTTTTTTTTTTTTTTTTTTTTAATTTAAGGCAAGGAAGGGACTGTTCTTCATGCAGGTGCTTTCTGAGATCATTGCCCAAGGGCATACCAGAGGGCAGTACTCAATCCTCCATAGCCTTCTCCCTCATCCTTGATCATTCCTCCCACACAATATTAACTTTCAAATATCTATATCAATGTTTATAAGCCAATAAAAAGTATACTCTAAAACTGAAATGTAAGAAAAGTTTTTTTCTTGACTGGAAACAGATTGCCAGGATTCTGTTTGTCAGAGCCACTGGGTGAGTTCAAATCACTAACTTTTGAGTAGCAGCTGAGCAATTAAAAGCTGAGCTACCAGGGTTCCTTCTTAAAATTACTTATTGTGTACGAAGGGAGAAAGACGTTGTAGTCTGCTTCCATAAAGATTACAGCATTGGAAACCCTATGGGGCAGCTGTACTCTATCCTATATGGTCACTATGAGTCAGAATTGAGTCCATGACAATGAGTTTGTTTGTTTGTTGGTAGTAGTGTGTATGAAATAATATTGTCATGAAGGATTGATCCTAAGACCAATGAGGTGTTCTTCTGTTGCTTCTGTAATACTTCTGTTCAGCTATCCTTACCTGAGTTCAAACAGCTATAATGCCTTGGTTGAAATAGTATACTTAGTTCCTAAATGTGCAGTCCTGCAGACCAGGGAGAGTAATTTAGCCATCTTGGAGGCTTAGCCATGGTTCAGACTCTGGGACCAATTCTGTTCCAAAACATGGTCCAGCAAAAAAGAGAGCCTTATGCCTTATTCCTGATTCACAATAATAATTCAAAAATTAAATTGTTAGATTTTTTTCTGCTAGCCAAAAATGTTGACAGAACACCAGCCGCTCTGAGGAAGAAAGATGTAGCAATCTGTTTCCATAAAGATTACAGCTTTGTAAACTCTAGGGGGCACTTCTATCCTGTCCTACTGGTTTCCTATGAGTCTAAATGGACTGAACAGCAATGGAGTATACTGTGCAATTGTTAATGCGAGTATATACATCAACCTACTATGTTTCCAAAGTTTCTTTCTGCTTTTTTTGTTTGTTTGTTTCTTTGATTAACTAGAGAGTGAAACTACCTTCCTTACTCGATAATTGTGAAGATTAAGCAGAAAATTGGCTGCACGTTCCAATATCTATTTTACTGCAACTTGGTATATGAGAGCATATGAGGATTTTGGAGGGAAGGGAAGAGAGAGAGAAAGAAATAGATAAAGAAACAATGATAAAGGAGAGATTGTTTGCATGAGTTTGTTCTCTGAAAGATGGTTAATTTACAAGTTCCCTTCATACAGAAAGTGTTTGGCAATACAGGGCCTGGTAGAGGGGGGCGGGGCATAAGGTTCCAGAGCAATGGCAAGACACATCAGCAGGTGAAAACTGTGAGCATCCATCTTCACTGTGTGCTTCCATACAAATCATTTAACATGCTCTTTTAAAGTTTTCACTTCTGTAAAATGAGAACTAAAATCTTAGCCTTTTCTCCTTCTTACCGAGCTGAATGGATTGAGAAATAAGTAGCTTGGCTCATATGGAAGAAGGATACTATTCAAACCTATTATTAATATCCTGTTGTTGTTGTTGTTTGCCGTCGAGTCATACCCAACTCATAGTGACCCCTCCTTGGGTTTCCGAGGCAGTATCACTACAGAAGTAGATAGCCCAACCTTCCTTCCCAGGAGTGGCTGGTAGGTTTGAACCACCAGCCTTCTGGTTAGCAGTCAAGTGCCTTAGGCACTATGCTACCAGAGCTCCCATTAATATCCTAGAGTTGGTCAACTATTTATAAATAAAGAGGGGAGGTGTATTAGTTCTAAGTTACCTGAACCACAGCAACCATCCTTAGCAAAGTGATCAAATATTGCTGAATATTCTAACTCCTATGTCCCTAGATAGTACAAATGGTTAAATACTTAATTACTAGCCAGAAAGTTTTCAGTTTGAACCCACCCAGAGGCCCTTCAGAAGACAGGCCTGGCCATCTGCTTCCAAAAATTTACAGCCTTGAAAAATCTGTGGAGCAGTTAGTTCTAGTCTGCACACTTGGGGTGGCCATGAGTTGGAATGGAATTGACTCAACAACAAGCACACCACCAAAAACAATTCATAGACATTAATTAATAGAATCTTCAAGTAAGTTTTCTTTGTACTTACCATTGCCTTCCATTGATTTAGATGGGATTTCTTTTTTGTGGTGGGATGATAAAAATTCAATGAAAAGATGAGTGGCTTGAGAAAGTCCCAAGTCTCAATTGGCATCTATGTGTTTTTCTTTTTAAGCTGCAAACCAGCAACTTTTAATGAATCAAGATAGGCATCATTATCTTATAGTTCCTTTACAAATTCCCTATATGGTCCACATTATGCTTCAAGAAGAAACTCTTATGGCACAGTGGGTAAAGCATTCAGTTGCTAACTGAAAGATAGTGGTATGAAGCCACCAGCTTCAATGTAGGAGGAAAATGAGGTGGTCTGCTTCTATAATATTTTATAGCCTTGGAGACCTTATGAGGCAATTCAGCTCTGTCCTAAAGGGTAGTTATAAGTTGGATTTGACTCAATAGTAGTGGGTTTGGGTTTTTGGGGGTATATGCTTCTTTAAATAGACTAAGTGGGAAGTGAATGATGCTAATAAATTTGGCTAAATAATTAGAAAATTTAGAAAAATAAATATTTCCAAGTGTTAAATGAAACAGAATTTAGCTAATAGCAGTCAGGATTTATATTTTAAACAATCCCCTAAAGATTTAAGAAAGAATATAAATGAAACCTAAAGCATTTACAGTAGTTTCACTATTATTCACCATGGTATATCAATGTTGTTGTAGGTCGCACCCGACTCATTGCGACCCCTCCTTTGGTTTCCGAGGCAGTATGGAGGTAGATTGCTGAATCTTCCTTCCGAGGAGTGGCTGATGGGTTTGAACCACCAGCCTTCTGATTAGCAGTCAGGTGCCTTAGGCACTATGCTGCCAGAGCTCCCATGGTATATCAATATTATTGTTGAATTCTAATTAATATTAATAACATAGAAATTCAACAGCATTATAATAAAGTGATTAATTTAGTCAATTCAAGACTAGTTTTATTAATCTTAGGATAGGTGATGATTGCATCAGGTGATGAGTGATTTCTTCTCTTAAAATATTAAAAGAATTAAAAATGCTAAAAATAGTCAAAAACATATCAAGTTCAATAAAATGCCAGTCTTCACTGATACACAGTTCAGCTGGAATTCATATACTGTCAAGATGATTGAAAAAAGCATTACTTCTGAACACACTAATATATAATTTAACAGAAAATGAGAAACTTCCCAAAATTATTTTCTCTAGATATCCGTGCACTGAATTACAGACGAGGGAATTCCACTGCTAATATAAGACAATATTAGATAAAATATTTGATAAGATAAATATTAGATAAGATCAATACCTTTATAATATTTTGTATGTTGTATGTATGTAACATGTAAAATTGTACTTTTTTAACTAATCGGACAGGGATTATTATTCACAGATCCACAGGAAATAAGTTATTCAAGTTCACACCTCTCCTCTCTTGGTGACGGATAATTCAAAACTAACTTTGTTGTGTTCTTGTATTAGTTGCCTATTGTTGCTGGAACAAATTGCCTCAAATTTGGTGACTTAAAACACAAATTTTCAATATACTTCTAGAGGTCAAAAAGGAGCTCTGATGGTGTAGTGCATAAGACTGCTAACCACAAGGCTGGAGGTTCAAAGCCACCAGCCACTCCTTGGAAGGAAGACTGGGCAATCTACTTTCATAGTGATATGCCTGGAAACCCAATGAGGGGTCACTATGAGTCCCACCGGACTCTACCGCAGTGAGTTTTGAGAGGTCAAAAAGAAACAAACCAACCTCACTGCCCTCGAATTGATTGTGATTCATAGTGATCCTGTCCTTGGGTTTTCGAGGCGGTTTCTCCACAGAAGTAGATTGCCCAGTCTTCCTTCTGGGGAGTAACTGGTGGGTTTGAACCCCCAGACTTATGGTTAGCAGTCAAATGCCTTAGGCACTATGCCACCAGAGATCTAGAGGTCAGAAGTCCAGCATAGGTTACATTGGGCAAAAATCAAGACATCAGAAAGATTGCATTCCTTCTGGATGCTCTAGACAGAACACATTCCCTAATCTTTTCCAGTTTCTAGTGGCTGTTTTCATTTCTTGGGTATGTCTTCCTTCCTCCATCTTCAAAGCCAGCAATGCCTGGTAGAGTCTTCCTCACATAGTGTCACTCTGTCACTCACTTGACTCCTTTTTTTCACATTTTAAAACTCTTGTGATTACATTGGATCCACCTGCATAATACAGAATGATCTCCGCATTTTAAAGTAAATTACTTATCAATATTAAGTCCATCTGCTACCTTAATTCCTCATAGCATAACATATTCAAAGTTGTGGTGGTTAGGATGGGGACAACACTCAGAGGCCATTATTCTAGCTACCCAGTTCTATATTCTTCCCTTAGTCCCTTGTTCTTGTCCAGCAGGCCCCATTTTATAGAAGATACAGTCACCTAGAAAAGTGGTTCCGAAAAGGTGTAATACAAAATACTATTCCATTTGTTGAGAAGAGTCTAAATTTTGGTTTCTTTTCTTTTCAGGTATGACAGTGAAGCATTTCTTGTTTTTGATTGCTGCTTTTGGCTTCCAGCCTGTGTCAGCCGGAAGAGTATGTGAAGATTGTATTTTTCATAATTGCTTTCTAGATGAGAGTTAACCCTTTAATAGACCTCAATGGATTTCAGGCATTGTTATGAGGACTCTACTCATACAACTTACCTAGTTCTCACCAATAGTCCTATAAGTAATATACCTAATCTCGTTTTACAGATGAGGGAACCAAGGCATAGGCAGGTTCAGTCACTTGGCAAGGTTACTTAATTAGGAACTAGCAGAGCCTGAAATGAAATCTACACATCTTTTGTTTATGGGCTGATGTCTACTTTATTACAATCCCTGTAAGTAATTCAAAGAAGTTGAGGATGTAGGACAGATTTCTTCCCAACTGACCCACACATTTTCCATGACTAGATGAGCAAAAAATGCTGTTTCTTATTCTTATTCCCTGAGAAAGTAAATATTTAATTAATGTTCCAGGTTAACTGATTGGTAACTATAACAAGAATTTGACACATCACCTTTAAATATAAAGTGAAAAGAAGCCCCAACAAAGGAAAGAAATGTAAGAGAGCATTACCAATGGAATAAATATATGAGTGCTGATTCTAACTACTAACAACTACGATCACAAAAAAAGAATGAAAACACTAGGTGATATTCTGAGGAGTAAACAAACAAACAAAAACAATTTTCACCAGTCAATTCTGACTCATTGTTATTTTATGGTCACTCAGTAATGTTGTTGTTGGTGTTGTTAAACCAAAGGGGGAAGAAAAAAGATTCACTGTCATGGAGTCAATTCCAACTCATAGCTACTTCCATTGAGTTTCTGAGGCTGTAAATCTTTATGAAAGTAGATTACCCCATCTTCCTTCCATAGAATGCTTGGTGGGTTTGAACCGCTGGCCTTCTGGTTAGCAGTCAAATGCCTTATCCACTATGTCATCAGAGTGCCTTTGTTGTTGTTAGGTGCCTTCAAGTCAGTTCAAACTTATAGTGCCCCCATACACAACAGAACAAAACATTGCCCCATCCTGTGCCATTTTTACAATCATTGCTATGATTGAGTGCATTATTGCACCCAATAATTTGCACTTATAAATAATATCAGTGATATGAAAATATCAGAAAATAATATGTTTTACAATATATCACAAATATTTTTTTTAAAAAGTTAAAGTCAATAATTTTATTATAAAAATGCCAGGTTAAAGAAGTTGAAAGTGGAAGGTACTTAATTTTATACTTGAAAGGAAATTTGTTGATTTGGTGTTTGGATCCCCTCACTTGCCTTTCATCCCCAAAGGTGGAACTCCATAATTTTACAGCAAGCCAGAACTAAAGTCTTTAAGATGAAGTCTATCTGCTCTCTGGTTCTCTACCCCCAACATATAGTGAGGCTCTTCACACTTCACAATAAAGAAAGGCTAAGCTGAAACATAGCCACCATTTTAAATAAAAAGAAAAGGCAAACAGTGAGAACATGATATTTGCTCACAAGCTCTAGTAGTGGGCTGGTCTAGACAACTCAGTACAAGTCAACCTGACCTGAATTGCCATTATCTCTATTTAAAAGACCAGAGCAGAAAGTAAATAAGAAGAACACATCATATTCATGAGAGCAGAGCCAATCTATGTCTTAAGCAGAAATTCAAAAGAAAAATATGAGAAGGTAGAAAGTGTTGGTAAAACAGAAGTCTACATTTTATAGATATTTGCATATAATATAATACACAGTTTACTTGAGAATTAATATTTGAAAAATCTAAAGTAAAACAAATAAGAAAAAATTAAGTTCCAAATACAAATTTATTATGTAAACATTAAACATGAATACCAAGCAAAGGAAATGATGAGCTGTTGCAATTTAATCAACCAAAATAAATATACCATACCTTCATTTTTTAGATTCATGTGGAAAACAAATAGTCTGAATGTCAGGCCTGAAGCTTATTTGAAACTTAATCTTCAGTGTCAGAGTTTGCTGGGATGTTGTTGTTGTCATTAGGTACCATAGAGTCAGTTCCAACTCATAGCAATCCTATTTATACAGAACAAAACACTGTCTAGTCTTGCATCATCCTCACAATCTTTTCTTTGTATGAGCCCATTTTTGCAGCCACTGGGCCAATCCATCTTATTGAGGGGCTTCCCCTTTTTTGCTCTCTACTTTATTAAGCATGATGTTTACTCCAAGGATTGGTCCCTTCCGATCTTAGGCATCTGACAGAAATCATTTTTCTACTGAGACATTTAGTTTTCCATGAGAATCTGGTAGACTGTACCCAAAAAGTTCTATTAAAGAAAATTAGAAGGAGTCAGGATCATATCACAGATCTACCTGATGTTATCTGAGGTAACTCAAGGAGACTTTCCTGAGAAAATGGTATATCTGAGAGATGAAGGATAAGTCAGCATCACCTAGGTTAATTAATTAAGGATAATTCAGCATAAGCTGAATGGGTGGCTTAGGCAAATATTCTGAGACAAGATGTAAACTGGTCCTTTGGAATATCTAGAAGACAACTGCTATGACAAAAGCAGAAAAAACTAGAGGAGCATGCCTTACATAGAAATTGAGAAGTAAGCAGGGTATGCATTGGCCTTGCTAAGAATTTAGTTCTTCTTTCTAACACCCATGAGCTGTTGAAATAATTATAACAAGAAATCTGTATCTGTTTCAAAATTAATGACCCAACTGAGATTAGTCATCTTGATTTTGGGTGACACCAATACTTATTCTTTTGTGTGATGTACTCGTAATAATGCTAAGCTAACATAGTACAGACAGGAGAATTGGTCTTACCCAAAGTTGGGATACTCCCAGGTGGGAGTAGGGCACGGAAAGTACTCAATGATTTAAAAGAGAATTGTTGAAATGACAATGTAGATAAAGAAGAAAGAAAAGACAAAAGAAGGCTAATGAAGAGAGAGAAGGAATGGGGACTAGAGAGCTAAATAATATTGATGAATAGTGAGAATGGGTGCCATTCACACCTGGAAAAAAGAGGGAGTCCTGGCTGAACAAGGAAATGCATGGTTTAGTGATTTTGGAAATATAGCATTGTGGACTGATAAGAAGATTTAGCATGTGACCAAGAGAGTGGAAATCTAAAAAGAACTAGAGAAGACTATTTAAATGAAGAATTCAAAGGCCTGAGACATCAGAGGGTTGGGGTCATCCATGTGAGCAAAAAAGACTCTCAAGCTGACTATAGAAATAGGAGTAGAGAAAATGAATTTGTTTCAGAAGACACAGTCTCTAAGAATGAAAGGAAGTGATGATTAAACTATTAAAACCAGTTGTCATCAAGTCAGTCAAGTCAATTCTGACACATGGTGACCCAGTGTGTGTCGGAGTAGCACTGTGCTCCATAGGTTTTTCAATGGCTGATATTTTGGAAATAGATTGTCAGGTGTCTGTTCCAAGGTGCCTCTAGGTGGACTTGAACCTCCATCCTTTTGGTTAGAAGCCCAACATATTAGTTATTTGTACCACCCAGGGACTCAGCAAAGCCATAAGAGCAGAGTGAATGTTGGAGAAGAAGGTGTCAGAATCAAATATCCTGAGTTCCAGTGTTGTTGTTAACTGCCGTCGAGTCATTCCCGACTCATAGAGACCCCATGCACAGCAGAACGAAACACTGCCCGATCCCGCACCAGCCCCACAATCCCTGCTATACTTGAGCCCATCATCGCAGCCACCATGTCAATTCATCTCGTTGAAGGCCTCCCCCTCTTTCGTTGACCCTCCACCCTACCAAGCATGACATCCTTCTCCAGGGAATGGTCCCTTCCAACAACATGACCAAAATAGGTGAGATGACGTCTGGCCATTCTTGCTTCCAAGGAGCATTCTGGCTGCACTTCCTCCAGGACAGATCTGTTAGTTCTTTTAGCAGTCCATGGTACTTTCAGCATTCTCTGCCAGCACCATGACTCAAAAGCATCAACTCTTCTTCAGTCTTCCTTATTCATTGTCCAGCTTTCACATGCATACGAGGTGATTGGAAATATCATGGCTTGTGTCAGGCGCACCTTAGTCCTCAAGGGGACATCCTTGTTCCTCAGCACTTGATACAGTTCCTTTGCAGTTGACTTTCCCAATGCTACATGTCGTCTAATGTCCTGACTGCTGCTTCCATTGGCATAGATTGTAGAACCAAGCAACATGAATTCTTTGACAATTCAATCTTCTCTCCATTTATTGTGATGCTGTTCATTGGTCCAGTTGTGAGGACTTTTGTTTTCTTTATATTGAGATGTAATCCATACTGTAGACTGTATTCTTGAATCCCAGTAGAACAGAGTTATTTAGAAAAGCAAGGAGAATTATAAGCTGGAAATCACAAGGAGTCTCCAGTATTTCCTATAGTCTAGCCATGAGCTAAGTGAAGTGTAAAGGAAATGCCACCAGATGTGTATGCTACTGAAGAAGTGATGTTCACAAGGGACAATCTGTAGAGGGATCTCCTGGATTCAATATTTATTCCCTTTGTCCATACTCTACTGTCAGTGCAAAACACATGACAATAGCTACTTCTATATTTTAGCAAGTATTTTCTGAATCTTCTCCATGTAGAAACTGTGCTGATAAAGTTATAACAATTGAGGAAGGAAAAGTAAACTATACTGCACTACTTTTGCCACATAGAATCTCTGGGTAGAGCAAACCATTAATCACTGGATTACTCACTGAAATATTGGCAGTTAGCATCCACTCAGAGGTGCCTTGAAAGGAAGGTCCAGCAATCTACTTATAAAAAATCACAGTCATGAAAAGCCTGTGCAGTGCGGGTCTATCCTGACACACATGGGGTTGCCATGAATCAGAATTGAATCAATAGTAACTGGTAGTTTTGCCACTTTTTTTTTTTTTTAAGGTTAGATGTGATATCACACACACACATGCAGACATACACACACAAGGAAGCCCCTCCAGACAGCAATTAATAAACAGGACAAAGAAATAGACTCTGACTTAGTGACACTCTTAAGGCTTTGTACTAAATAATGAATCTGTTAGTTTGAATTCTCCCATACCTTTAGGCAAAGATTCAGTTGCATGTAGTGTATTTGAGAAGTAAAGGAAACACTTGTAGGAACACTTGTAGGGGAATGAAAAATGAGCCAAGGAAGGAAAGTCATTCCCAAAAAAGTGATATCAACCTCTCTCACTGTAGTTGTCCTTAGGTGCCATTGAGTAGATTTCAACTCATAGTGACTTCATCTGTCAGTGTAGAACTGCCCCATAGGGTTTTCTTGGCTATAACCTTTATGGAAGCAAATTGCCAGATCTTTTTCCCATGGAGCTTCTGAGTGGGTTCAAACCATGAACCTTCCAGTTAGAAGCTAAGTACTTAATTGTTTGCCACACCAGGGCTTCTTATCACTTTGAAAAGCCCTAATCACAGAATATCCAATGTACTATCCCATACACCACTACTACAATGCCAGATTGACATTCAGAAATCTTCAAACCTAGCACTAGAGAAATGAAAACTAATATAGTGCAAAATTATAAATTAAAAAATGCTGTGTATCCGTTTATTCACTTGAAAGTACAAGAGTATATATCGTGAAGTGAAAAGTTGTGCTCCATATGAAAATTTACACATTACTCATAGCAACTTCATTAATGATTGCCCAAAATTTGAAGCAATCAAGATATCTTCCCATAGGTGTATGGATAAACACACTGTGCTATATCCATATAATGGAGTATATCATTCAGCAATAAAAAGAAATAAGGTATCAAGTTATACAAAGACATGGAAGCCTAAAAGAAATCTACATCCTGTATGATTTCAACTATATAACTTGGTGAAAAAAGAAAAATTACACTAGTTGAAGTTGAGAGACCCTATGTGTGCAGAGTAAAAGTGCATTCCATAGAGTTTTCAGGGCTTTGACCTTTTAGAAGCAAATTGCCAACACTTTTTTCCAAGGTGTTGCTGGGTAGGTTCAAACAGCCAATCTTTTGGTTAGTAGTCCACTGCTTTACCATTTGCACCACCCAGTGACTCCTAGGAAAACTATAAAGACATAAAAATATCAGTGGTTGCCAGGGCTTCCAGGGCAGCAGGCTAAAGATGAATAAGTGGAATGTACAGTATTTTAGGGCAATGAAACTATTCTGCACAATACTTTAATGATCATCACATGATATTTGCATGTTTCAAAACCCTTAGAACTATATGAAGAATGAGCTTAATATAAATATGGACTTGAGTTTGTAATAGCATATCAATATTAGTGCATCAATTATAACAAATGTACTACAGGAATGCAAGATGGTAATCTTAGGAAAGACGTGCTGAAGTAGAGAGCCTTGGCGGCACAGTGGTAAGTGCTGGGCTGCTAACTGAAAGGTCAGTGGTTCAAACTCACCAGCCACTCCATGGGAGAAAGATGAAGCATTTGCTTCTGTAAGGATTTATAGCCTTGGAACCCTACGGGGGCAGTTCTATTCTGTCCTATAGGATCACAATGAGTCAGAATTGACTTCATGGCAATGGGTTTAATTTTTTTCTTTTCTGGTGGTTGGGAGAGTGGTGCAGGGAGGAAAAGGGATATATGGGAGCTCTCCATACTTTGTGCACAATTTTTCCATAACCTTTATACCTCTGTAAAAAAGTAAAGTCTATTAAGGAAAAAAAAAAAGACAAAATAGTATATTATCTATGTTGTTGTTGTTGTTGTGTGCCATTTAGTCAGATCTGATTCATAACCACCCCTCCATGGGTTTCTGAGGCAGTATCACTATGGAAGTAGATTGCCCCATCTTCCTTCCGAGGAGTGGCTGGTGGGTTTGAACCGCCTTGGCACTATGCTACCAGAGCTCCCATATTATCTATACATCTGAAAAGAATATACTTTATGTGATAAATTCCATTTAAAAGAAGACTAATTAGTGATTTTCTGATAACAGGAAAAACCTGGAGTCCCATATAATACACTCCTCACGACATTGGCAACTGTCCAAGAAGAAATCGTTAATGTACATAATAATTTCAGGAGACATGTAACTCCATCAGCCCGCAACATGCTGAAAATGGTAAGACTAATTAATCAGCAACAGTGTTATCAATAATAAAGATCTTATTAAGTTCCTAGCTCTGTCAAAATACTCAGAAGTCTGACCTTCACAAACAACCTTTGACACAGCAGAAGAAACTGGAGCCCAGAGAAGTTAAATGAATTTCCCAATGGTATGCAGTTAGTAAATAATAGAGTAATAATTCCACCTCAAGCAGTCTAACTTCATTTGAAATGTATCCTTTCCTCAAGCTTTTTTGCATTAAAGAACTGCTTGCAGAACTTGATACATCACAGATTCTTGGGTCCCACACACAGAGATCCTGGTTGGAGAGGTGTGTGGTGGGGCCAACCATTTTCATTTCTAACAAGCTTCCATCCCATGTTGATGCTTCTAGGCCTATAGGACACCCTGATTAATAAGTTTGCTGAGGTATTCCATAGCTATCTTCACAAGGCAGTTGCCTGGAAGCAAAGATACTGGTTGAGAGTTAAGAGATCTAGATTCTAAACCAGGTGATGATGACAGGAAAACAAACACTGGCATATCTATTTCCCAATTCCCTTGCATCCTGTAAGGACCTCTGGTGTGCGGAGGGTAAGGCATTTGGCTGCTAAACAGAAGGTCAGTAGTTCAAATCCACCAGCTGCTCTGTGAGAGGAAGATATTATAATCTACTTCTGGAAAGATTTACAATCTTGGAAACCCTATGGATGTAACTATGAGTCAGAATTGACTAGATGGCAGTGGGTTTGGTTTTTTGGTTTTTGCATACCATAAAAAGGTAGAGAAATTGTCTTTCCACTATAAACCTGGTGTGTGAGCAGACTAGGTATTATCCACAAAAATTTAGGGAAATTGTCAACTGATTAGGTGATAATCCTTGGACTTATTATCTCACAATATTAGTTTTATATAATGCAACAACAATAAATACCTTCTTGTGAACCTCAAGGAGCTCTGATGGTGCACTGCCTAAGGCACTGAACTGCTAACCAGAAGATTGGCAGTTCAAACCCATCAGCCACTCTGTGGAAGAAAAATGGGGCAATCCATTTTATTAAAGATTTGCCACTTTGGAAACACAATGGGGGTCACTATAAATCAGAATCAACTTGATGGCAGTGGGTTTAGATTTGGTTTGTGAGACATATCAAGAATGTTTCATGGAAAGGATGTCTTACCAACATTAATCAGAGGGAATGTCCTAGATAGGTTCAAAAATGTTTGAACTGCAAACTATATATAATGAGTGCCTCATATCAGTTTCCCCAAGTAGCCGACATTGAGATGGCTATTAGAATGTAAGATATATATTGGGAGACAATCTCCAGATTTACACCTCCTTGTAGAAGTAGGGAGAGAAAAATGATTGGACACAGGGAGAAGTTGAGCTGTGATGTACTCACAACAATGTTGTTTTTAGGTGCCATTGAATCAGCTCTGACTCATAGAGACTCTGTGTACAATAGAATAAAACATGCCCTGTCCAACACCACCCTCACAATCTCTGCTATGCTTGAACCCATCATTGTAGACACTGTGTCAATCCATCTCATTGAGGGTCTTCCCTTTTTAACTGACCCTCTTCTTTACCAAGCATGATATCTGTGGTAGTTAAGTTTGTGTGTCAACTTGGCTAGGCCTGGTTGAGTAGCTGGACAGCTGGAGGTAGTGTTCCCCATGATAAGACTGGTAATCAACTCCATGTTGGAATCTACTGTGAGCAGCTGAGTAGCTATCTTTGGGATGTGGTCTGCTTCCTGTGTATAAGGAGAGACTTGGGGAATGATCTCTAGCTTATGGTATGTTTGAAGCCTGCATGCAGCTGAGTCATTGTTCAGCAGCCTATTGTGCTCTGTCAACCTTGGGACTTTCAATGGACTTAAATTAATGATCTGCCATGTGGTTTGGAGTCAGCCACAGGGACCTGGGTGAGGAGAGGGAACCCAGGCCACACCCCACAAGCAGAGAGGTGGGAAAGTAGGGAGAGGATAGAAAGGGCAAAGGGGACAGGATCAGATTGAGGAGTCAGCCTTAGGTATCAGCCTGGCTTGCAGACTGAGACAAACTAGGAAGAAGGAGGAGGCCATCCAATTCTCAAAGAATCGGCCAGGGAAAACCTTATGAAGAGAAACACTGTCTGATATATTACTGCACAACTTTATGAATAGTCTGGAAATATTGTCAAATACAGAGGAGGAAGATGAGTCCCTTAGCTTAGAAAGCTCTCAAAGTAGGACTGGGCAAGAGCTGCACCATCTGGGTAAAATCAGCCTTACTCATATGGATAAGGTAAAGCTTTCGAGACCTCTATTTGCTGATGTGGCACCACTCAAATTGAGGAGAAACAGTGGCAAACATCCATTAATAATTGGAACATGGAATGTATGAAGTATGAATCAAGGAAAATTGAAAGTTGTCAAAAATGAAATGGAACACATAGAGATTGATGTCCTAGGTTTTAGTGAGCTGAAATGGACTGGTTTTGGCCATTTTGAATCAACCATATGATCTATTACACAGGGAATGACAGTTTAAAGAGGAATGGTGTGGCATTCATCATCACAAAGGATGTTTCAAGATCTGTCCTGAAGTCCAGTGCTGTCAGCGATAGGATAATACCCATATGCCTACAAGAAAGACCCATTAATATGACTATTACTCAAATTTATGCACCAACCACCAAAGCCAAAGATAAGAAAGTTGAAGATTTCTATCTATCAACTTCTGCAGTCTGAAATTGACTGAACATGCAATCAGGATGTGTTAACTATCACTGGTGACTGGAATGCAAAAGTTGGAAACAAAGAAGAATCGTTGGTAGTTGGAAAATTTGGCCTTGGTGACAGAAATAATGCTAGAACTCTCATGGTAAAATTTTCCAAGACCAATGACTTATTCATTGCAAACACCTTTTTTCAACAACACAAACGGCAGCTCTACACATAGACTTCACCAGATAGAACACACAGGAATCAGATTGACTACATCTGTGGCAAGAGGCAGTGGAAAAGCTCAATATCTTCAGCCAAAACAGGCCAGGAGTTGATTGTGGAACAGACCATCAACTGCTCATGTGCAAATTCAACTTGAAGTTAAAGAAAATTAAAACAAGTCCACGAGAGCCAAAATATGATCTAGAATACATCGCTTCTGAATTGAGAGACCATCTAAAGAATAGATTTGATGCATTGAACACCAGTGACCAAAAACCAGAAGAATTGTGGGATGACATCAAGAGCATCATCCATGAAGAAAGCAAGAGGTCACTAAAAAGACAACAAAAGAAGAGAAGACCAAAATGGATGACAGAAGAAACTCTCAAACTTGCCCTTGAGCAGAGAGTGTTGTTGTTGTTGTTGTTATGTGCCATCAAGTCGGCCCCAACTCATAGCGACCCCTTCTTGGGTTTTTGAGGCAGTATCACTATGGAAGTAGGATTGCCCAACCTTCCTTCTGAGGAGTGGCTGGTGGGTTTGAACCACCAGCCTTCTGGTTAGCAGTCAAGTGCTTTATCCACTATGCTACCAGAGCTCCTGCAGAGGCTAGCTAAAGCAAATGGAAGAAATGACAAGATACAAGCATTGAACTGAAGATTTCAAACAGCAGCTTGAGAAGACAAAGCCAATTACTAGTATGAAATGTACAAAGACTTGGAGTTGGAAAATCAAAAGGGAAGAACACGCTCAGCATTTCTCAAGCTGAAAGAACTGAAGAAAAATTTAAACCTCGAGTTGCAACACTGAAAGATTCTAAGAGCAAAATATTAAATGATCCAGGAAACATCAAAAGAAGATGGAAGGAATACAGACTCACTGTACCAAAAAGAACTGGTCAATCTTCATCCATTTTAGGAGGTGGCATATGATCTAGAACCAATGGTACTGAAGGAGGAAGTCAAAGCTGCAATAAAGGAATTGGTGAAGAACAAGGCTCTGGGAATTGACAGAATACCATACCCATTGAGATATTTTAACAAACAGATGCCTCACTGGAGGCACTCACTTGGTTATGCCAAGAGATTTGGAAGACAGCTACCTGGCCAACTGACTGGAAGAGATCTATATTTGTACCCATTCCAAAGAAAGGTGATCCCACAGAATGTGGAAATTATCAAACAATATCATTAATATTGCACGCAAGTAAGATCTTACTGAAGATAATTCAAAAATGCGTGCAGCAGTATATTGACAGAGAACTTCCAGAGCTGCAAGCTGGATTCAAAAGAGGACATGGAACAAGGGATATCATAGCTGTTGTCAGATGGATCTTGGCTCAAGGCAAAGAATACCAGAAAGATGTTTACTTGTGTTTTCTTGACTATGCAAAGGCATTCGATTGTGTGGATCATGACAAATTATGGATAATGTTGAGAAGAATGGGAATTCCCAAACACTTCATTGTACTCATGAGGAACCTGTACCTTGACCAGGAGGCTGTCATTCGAAAGGAACAAGGGGACACTACATGGTTTAAAATAAAGAAGGGAGTGCGTCAGGGTTGAATCCTTTCTCCATACTTATTCAATCTATACACTGAGCAAATAATCCAAGAAGCTGGACTATAGGAAGGAAAACGTGGCATCAGGATTGGAGGATGAATCATTAACTATCTGAGATACACTGATGATACAACTTGCTTGCTGAAATTGAGGATGACTGGAGGCACTTACTGATGAAGACTGAAGAACACAGTCTGCAGTATGGATTACATCTCAATATAAAGAAGACAAAAATCCTCACAACTGGACCTATAAGCAGCATCATGATAAATGGAGAAAATATTGTGGTTGTCAAAGAATTCACATTGCTTGGTTCTACAATCAACACCAATGGAAGCAGCAGTCAGGATATTAGAGGACGTGTAGCACTGGGCAGGTCGACTGTGAAGGAACTCTTTCAAGTGCTGAGGAGCAAGGATGTCTCCTTTAGGACTAAGGTGTGCCTGACACAGGCTATGATATTTCCAATTGCCTCATATACATGTAAGAGCTGGACAATGACTAAGGAAGACCGAAGAAGAGTTGATGCTTTTGAGTTGTGGTGCTGGCAAAGAATGCTGAAAGTACCATGGACTGTTAAAAGAACTAACAGATCTGTCCTGGAGGAAGTGCAGCCAAGATACTCCTTGGAAGCGAGAATGGCCAGACTTCGTCTCACCTAGTTCGGGTCATGTTGTCAGAGAGGACCATTCCCTGGAGAAGGATGTCATGCTTGGTAAGGTGGAGAGTCGAAGAAAGAGGAGAAGGCCTTCAACGAGATGGTTGACATGGTGGCTGTGACAATGGGCTCAAGTATAGCAAGGATCATGGAGGTGGTGTGGGATCGGGTGGTGTTTCTTTCTGCTGTGCATGTGTTTGCTGTGAGTTGGAAATGACCTATGACACCTAACAACAACAACAACAACAACATGTGGTTTAGTAATATCAGGACTGTGCCTTTTAACTTGTCAACCTTGGGCTTGTCAGTCTCAGCAGCCAGCAGCTGTCTGAGTGAAGAAAAGCCTTTAGCTTCAATGGGCCAGCAGCATGAGGCAGAGCTCAAGCAGAAGGTTGAAGGGCTTTCACCCAGCCCCCCTGGCACTTTGAACTCAGACTTAAAGCCTCCAAATTGTAAGAATAATCTCCTGTTTAAGGCCATCCCATTTGTGATATATTCCTGTCAGAGTGGCACTAGGGACTGGTTCCTTCTGATAACATGACCAAAGTATAAGAGAGGAGGTCTGAACAATCTTGCTCATAAATAGCATTCTGGCTGTTTCCAAGATAGATCTGTTCCTTCTTCTGGCAGTCCATGGTATATTCAATATTCTTTGTCAACATCATATTTGGCCTATTCCAAAGAAAGGAGATTCAACAGAATGCAGAAATTATGGAACAATGTCATTAATATCATACACAAGTAAAATTTTCTTGAAAATAATTTAAAAGCAAACAATCAGTAGTATATAGAAAAGGAATACCCAAAAATTCAAGCCAGATTCAGAAACGGACATGGAATGTGATAGATCATTGCTGATGTCAGATATATCTTGGCTAAAAGCACAGAATATCAGAAAGATGTTTACCTCTGCTTTATTGACTATTCAAAGACATTCAATTGTGTGGATCATGAAAAATTATAGGTACCCTTGTGAAGGATAGAAATTCCAGAACACTTAATTGTGTTCATAAGGAACCTATACATAGACCAAAAGGCAGTCATTTGAACAGAACAAGGAGACATTGAATGGTTTAAAATTAGGAAAGGTGTGTGTCGGGGTTGTATCCTTTCACCATATTCATTCAATCTACATGCTAAGCAATAATCTTAGTAGCTGGACTATATAAGGAAAAACAAGGCATCAGGACTGAAAGAAGAATCATTAACAGCCTGAGATATGCAGATGATACAACCTTATTTGCTCAAAGTGAAAAAGACTTGAAGCACATACTGATGAAGAACAAAGTCTACAGCTTTTAGTATGGATTACACTTCAACATAATGAAAATTAAAATCCTCATAACTGGACCAACAAGCAACATCGTGATACACAGAGAAAAGATTGAAGTTGTCAAGGGTTTCACTTTACTTGGATTCACAATCAATGATCACTGAGGCATCAGTCAAGAAATCAAGTGATTTAGTGCACTGGACAAATCTGCTGCAAAAGACTTCTTTAGAGTGTTCAAGAGCAAAGATGTCATTTTGGAGACAAGATGTGCCTGACCCAAGCCATCGTATATTCAGTAGCCTCATATCTATATGAGAACTGGACTGTGAATTAGGAAAACCAAAGTAGAATTGATGCCTTTGAATTACGGTATTGGGGAAGTCACAATAGCTCACAGCCATTGAGTAGATTCTGACTTAAAGTTACCAGCTTTAACTGATCCTACCAAGCCAAAAAATCAAACCTGCTTCTGTCAAGTGAATTCTGACTTATAGTGACCCCATGTGCTACAAGACAGAAATGTTTCATAACCTTTTCTTGGCTGTAATAACAGAAGCAAATCAAACTAACCTCACAGGAAGTTATAAAATGGAGATGATCTATGAGTGGTCCCGAAGTGTTCTGGTATTTATACATCCCACATCTACCAGCTTTTTGATATGGAAGGTTGGGCAATCCTACTTCCGTAGTGATACTGCCTCAGAAACCCAAGGAGGGGTCGCTATGAGTCGGGTTTGACTCGACGGCACATAACAACAACAACAACAGAGAGAAGAATATGCCCATAGATGAGGGCAATTCCTAGAGAGGGCAGATGATAAGAGCTCTCTGTTGGCAGGACTCCCAGATGCTGGGGGAATAAGTTCTTCAGGACAGCAAAGGATCTGGGTAGTGCATCACAGCATCCACTACAAAGACTTAGATGTGATTTATCCAGATAAATTCCAGTCTTATAAATTTAGTAGGCAGGTCACAGTAGGCAAGTTTTCTTTACCGGTGAATACAGCAACAGTCCCACTGCTGCAAGATTTTGTGCTCTGAAGGGATGTGCTCTGTCATCTTTATTCCTTCAGTTACACTTAGCCATAGATAAAATGCATCACTTGTGGTAAGAAACAAGCAGAACCTACAGGGCTACATTTTTAGTCCATGCTTTGTTGTTGTTGTTGTGTGCCGTCGAGTCGGACCCGACTCATAGCGACCCCTCCTTGGGTTTCCGAGGCAGTATCACTACGGAAGTAGATTGCCCCATCTTCCTTCCATTTTAAGCTAATAAATTACTTTGGGAATTGAATGCGACTGCTTAGAAGTGACAGACTCACAAACTCATCTCATGAATTAGAAATCTCATCAACCTCGGGGTAATTCTAGGGAATTACCACATGATGGCAGCATATACATATACTATACATCCAAACTGCTGCCTGGAAAAATACTGTAAATCTACTTTAGGGTGTAGTACAAAAGTTACGCTATTCTAATGAGTAGCTTAATGAATGCATTAAAGCCCATGGTAAAACAAAGTTCACAAATTTTGTTGGTGATGTGTTCCAAGCAGATAGTGAAAGTCCTTTAAGTGGATGGACAGAATGAGAAGATGAAAGAGTATTAAACATATCACTTGTCACAAGGTCGCATGTTGTTGTTGTTGTTATGTGCCATCGAGTCTGACCTGACTCATAGCGACCCCTCCTTGGGTTTCCAAGGCAATATCACTATGGAAGTATATTGCCCCGTCTTCCCATACCTACTGATAATTCTATATTTCTCTTTAGCAAGAGCCCAGGTGGAAGACTTTCAACTTGTGGCTTCTGACTGAAAGACTGGCAGTTCGAACTCAGTCTCCATGGGAGAAACTCTTGGTGATCTGCTCCTGTAAAAATCATACCCTAGAAAACCCAGTAGGACAGTTCTACTACATATATGGGCTCAATATGAGTTAAAATTGACTCGACATTAGGTGCCACAACCACCACCTTTTTCCTTACTTAGAGAAGAGCCACTTTTGAGATGTACCTGATTAAACAATTGACTCACATTAACAGTCAAGAGCACACTCTCTGGAGCCAGATTTAACTAGATTCAAATTCTGTTTTTTGTCACTATTAGTTATAAGGCCCTGGATATGTACTCAACATCTGTCTCTCAGTATACTTATTTGCAGAATGGGAATAATGATAGAATGGGGATGATAATACCTTGTATAGCTGCAGTAAGGATAAAGTAAGGGAAAACACATATAGAGTTGGTGCTTGCTATTTTTCTTTTTATTATTCATAATCTTAAATTGAGTTGTGTACTACTGTACTTGCTTCTAATAATAGCTAACATTTATTCATTGGGCATATAGTATATGATTTAGTATATGCTAGTTTTATTTGATGGATTAGCACATTAATTTTTTTTAATAAACTCTTGGCTATAAATTACACATGAAGAAACTGAGATCCAAAGAGATTAAATAATATGTCTAAGGTAAAACTGCTAATAAATAACTGGAAGGGTTTTCTAACTCTTGTCTATTTTATTCAAAATATTTACTTCAAGTCTTCACTAAATCTAAGAGAAATTATCTCTGAATGGTATCAAATTCTGAGTTGGTGACTTCAAGGGCTAAACCATTAATTTGAATTGTATGTCTTCCTCTACCAGCTGGAATATTTAAGAGCTGCATTATTATTTTAATTTCATCTCACACAATTAAGAATTCCCTAACCTTAGATTTCTAGAAACAATAAACTAGAATTTTACATGTAAATATTAATAAGATCATGTGCTTTGTTTTTACTCATCTACTTTAGAGTTGGAGTGAGGATGCTGCACAAAATGCCAGAACTTTGACAAGTCAGTGTAATCCAGTGGACAGCTACCCACCTGACAGGCAAATTGGAGGTAAGTATAGGTTAGAATATATTTATTTCCAAATTAGAATGTAAAAAGACAAACTAAAATATATTTATATATATTCATTTCCTATTAATTGATCTGATCTTACATGTTCAGTATTTCCATGAAAGAACTAAAGAAAAAAAATTAAGCCTCAAATTGCAATATTGAAGGATTTCAGGGGAAACATTTGAACGGTGCAGGAAGCATCAAAATATGATGGAAGGAAAACACAGAGTCATTCTTCCAAAAAGAATTGGTTGATGTTCAACCATTTCAGGAAGTAACATATGATCAAGGACTGATAGTACTGAAGGAAGAAGTCCAAGCTGCACTGAAAGTATTAGTGAAAAACAAGGCTCCAGCAACTGACTGAATACCCATTGAGATGTTTCAAAAAATGGATGCAACACTAGAAGTGTTCACCTATTTATGCCAAGAAATTTGGAGGACAGCTATCTAGCCAACTGACAGGAAGCGATCTATATTTGTGCTAGTTTTAAAGAAAGGTGATCCAACAGAATGTGGGAATTTTAAGAAATATATCACTAATATCACACACAGATAAAATTTTACTGAAGATAATTTTAAAAAGGTTGTAGCAGTACATCCACAGGGAACTGCCAAAATTTCAAGCCAAATTCAGAAGAGGATGTGAACAAGAGATATTATTGCTGGTGTCAGATGGACCTTGGCTAAAAGGAAAGAATACGAGAATGATGTTTATATGTGCTTTATTGACTGTTCAAAGGAACAACATTGTGAAGAATGGGAATTCTGGAACACTTTATTGCGCTCATGCAGAACCTGTCCATAGGCCAAGAGGCAGTCCTTGAAACAGAATGAGGTTTAAAACAGAACAGTGGCTTAAAATCAGGAAAGTTTGAATAGGGTTGTATCTTTTTACCATACTTGTTTTATCTGTGTGCTGAACAAATAATCCAAGAAGCTGAACTATGTGAAAAAGAACAGGGTATCAGGATTGGAGGAAGACTCATTAACAACCTGTGATCTGCAGATGGTACAACCTTGCTTGCTGAAAGTGAAGAGGACTTGAACCACTCATTGATGGAGATCAAAGATTATAGTCTTCAGCATGGATTACACCTCAACATAAAGAAAACAAAAATCCTCAACACTGGACCAATAAGCAACATCACGATAAGTGGAGAAATGATTGAAGTTGTCAAAGATTTCATTTTACTTGAATCTACGATCAACACCTGTGGAAATACCACTCAAGAAATCAAAAGATGTATTGTCTTATGTAAATCTGCTACAAAAGATCTCTTTAAAGTGATAAAAACTCTAGATGTCACTTTGAGGACAAAGGTGTACCTGAGGCAAGGCATGGTATGTTGAAGAAGAATTGATGCTTTTGAATCGTAGTGTTGGCAAAGAATATGGAGTGCTAGAAGAATGAACAAATCTGTCTTGGAAGAATATAGCCAGAATGCTTGTTAGAAGTAAGAATGACAAAACATCATCTCACATACTTTGGTATGGTACCAGGAGGGACCACCCTCTGGAGAAGGACATCATGCTTGGTAAAGTAGAAGGTCAGTGAAAAAGAGGAAGACCCTCAATGAGATGGATTGAGAAAGTGGCTGCAACAATGGGCCGAAACATAGCCATGATTTGCAGATGATACAGAATCAGGCAGCAGTTTTTTCTATTGTACATTGGGTCCCTATGAGTCAAAACCAACTCTACAGAGCCTAACAACAGTAATATACCTTAGAAGCAATTATGGCAAGACTTTGACTCACTTACTTTGGACATTTGATCAGGAAAGACCGATCAGTAGAAAAGCCATCATGTTTGCTAGCGGGATCACCAAAAACAAGAGAAACACTCAATAAGATAAGCTGAGACAATAGTCACAACAATGAATTCAAAGGTGCCAATGCTCATAAAGAGGGTATAAGACTGGGCAGTGTTTTGTTCTGTTATACGTAAAGATGCCATGAGGCAGGACAAGCTAAATAGCAACTAACAACAACAATACGGCTAGTGACACCATTTTGTGCTCCAGGGATTGTTAAGTTAGATAGCCATAGCAAGTTAAGTTATCCAGCTTATATTTGCACTCTATAAGGCAGTTCATTGAGACAGAATATACTGTTGTAATATTGTTAGTTTTCTAAATACAGACATTAAAATATTCAGGTTCCAGTTTCTGTCCATTAGAAGAAAATAAACAAGGCTCTCAATATTATAGAATTGTTAAATGATGCACTGATGACTAAATGGATAGTAAATAGCTAGATAGTTCCCCCTCTATGTTGTTATCTCAGCTACCATGATACCAAGGAGCCCTGCTGTGCTGAAAAGTGATTAAAATGGTCAGGTGCTAACTGAAAAGTCAGTGGCTCAAGCACACCAGCTGGCTTTGTGAGAGAAATACTGGGCAGTAAGAGGAAGAAGTCTGCTTCCATAAAGATTAACAGCCTTGGAAACTCTACAGGGTTATTATGAGTCAGACTCAAAAGTAACAGGTTTTTTTTTTTTTTTTTTTTCTACCCATAATATAACCGTGGAAATTCTTTTCATTTGTTGAGAAATGAGTTTTTTTCAGTATTAATCCTTTTGGTTATTAGACAAGCACTTAACTTTTTATAACATGCTGGGACTTTACCTACCAGCTGTTTGAACAACTTTAAATGTTCAAAAATAAGTTCATTTTATGGCAATATGACAACCATACAATTTAGGAGATCTACTGCTAGTATCCATAAAAGCCAATAGTACATTCCAAGCAAGTAGATACTAATAATATCTATACAAATCTCTACTTTTTATTACAACATAATGAAAAATTATAATTGCTACTTTCTTATCTATAGATTATTGAGTATTGTTGTTGAAGATTAATTTTCAGCAGCCAAATTAAATAAAGCAAAACCATTTTAGTTATTCTCTAAAACTCTAACCACACAAGGATTCCACCATGTTGTATACTTTAGTATATGCCAGTTGACACATTTTTTTTTTCTTTTCAAAATTTATGAGTTTTGTAGATACTCACAAATAAGACTTTCTAAGCCATCATTTATACAGCTTAAAAATATGTAGCAGAGAAAAAGTAGCTGTTACAGACTTTAGAAAGCCCCATTGGGAACAGAAATCAAGAAGATTGGGGATGTTTTTATATTCATTGGATGAACAATAGGTGGGACAAATGACTAAGTGCTCGATTACTGGCTAAAAGGTTGGCAGTTCAAACCCACCCAAAAGTGCTTTAGATGGTTGGTCTGATGATCTGCTCCTGGAAGTCCACAGCCTTGAAATTCCTGGGGAGTGCACTGCTACTCTTCTCACATGGGGTCATCAGGAGTTTGAATGTACTCAATAGCAATGAACAACAACAAAAACAAGTGAGCAACAGCAGGACGTAACCCTGTTGACAAGACAAATCTCTTGAAATAAGTTACTGCTCGCAGTGCACTAAAAAGCATAGGGAAAATGTTGATTCTTTTATTTCCTGTTAATTGATTTGGTCTTACTCATTGGTCCAACTTGCTGCATAGTGAAGAAAATACTTTAACAAATAAGAAAAGACAAAAATAAATTTGAGTCCTATCCAGTAAATTTGGTTCAATGAAATGCAGTGTCTGAAAACACCCTTCTTTTTGCAAATAGTCTCTTGAGATAAATGTTGTTCTCTTAGATTTTCCTCTCCTCTTGTTCATCTTAGAGTACCCATAGCACTTCAGTGTGCCATTCCTGGTGCATCAGGAAACTTCAGAGATTCCTGTATAATGCTAAGAGTTCATGAGTTCCAGCAGAGTTCAGTGGTTCCCTCCTGTTCTCGTGCAAGTATACAAGTAGCCCCAATTTTCTACTCTTCACCACACCTGTTGAGATATTTCTAAAGCCACCACTGGAATTGAAGATGGGTACTTCCTGAGGCACTAGATGAACAATGGAACAGGAAATAAACCTTTCCCACTTAATTTCCTACTATTTCTTGTGTTTTTTCATGATTCTTCGTGCTAGAATTTGTTCCTCTTTTTAATTTACTCATATTCATATTCTCCTTAATTAGTACAGAAACTGTATGATGTTAGTCACTGGAGACTGATGTTGCCTACCATAAAGAAGCAATTCTATGACCTGAGTTGGCCACTATTGATGCTTAGTGTTTTAAGGACAAGAGATGAATATAGTTTAGGTTTTCCTAACCCCCATAAACTTTCTTGATGTGGAGATTTTAGATAGGAGAAAGGTGATTTTGAGAGGAGGGACACAACACACTATGCAGAAGAAGACAGTCATCATTGTTGGGGTAAGCTCTCCAGGTTTGATTTCCACATACATTTGGCCAACCTGCACTGAAGGACAACCATGTGAAGTGGAGAGAGGAAATTAGAGGTAGAATGGGGTGGACCAGTGTGGGGCTGTGAAGGTGTAGATCTTTAAAAACTGTTGCTGTTGTTATGTGCTGCCAAGTTGGCCCAGGCTCATAGTGAGCCCTCCTAGGGTTTCTGAGGCAGTATCACTATGGAAGTAGATTGCCCAACCCTCCTTCCAAGGAGTGGCTGGTGGGTTTGAACTGCTAGCCTTCTGGTTAGCAGTCAAGTGCCTTAGGCTACCAGAGCCCCTCTTTAAAAACTGGGAGTAGTGAATTAGCAAGATGGGTCTTTCCTGCCCCAGGAAAAGACAAGGCACTTCTGAATATTAATGCTCTTTAAGTGCTCACATCACTAAGTGGATGGTCAAGTGAATATATGCAAATTTTAAATCCTTTGCATGATGGATACTTATGTCTCTGTAGTTGCTTCCAAGGCAGTGGCCTTTCTCCAATTCATAAACTGCTCTAATTTGGTTTTACTCTTATCCATCATCTTGGAAGTGGCAAAAACGAAGCTGTCTGATGATGTGATTTCAAAGCTTGCACACCATCTCCTACTGTGAACATCTTACCAAACCTGAGCACCATGTGATATTTCATTAATAAGAAAGAAAATAACAGCAGAGATACAACTGAGTTTATCTCCTCATATAAGACATTTCATGGATAAGCTAATTAGTGAAACATTTGTAAAATAAAAACAAGGAATGTGGCTTTGTTTAATACTTGCAAGTTTTATGGACTATGATCCCAGTTCTTTTTCCTCTTTTCAGAGAACTTTTGTGGAGAAAATATGTTCTTTGCATCTTATCCTATGTCATGGTCAAGTGTAATTGAAATGTGGTACAATGAGTCAAAATACTTTACCTATGGGAAATGGAAGAGACTGGGTAAAAAGACAGACCATTATACTCAGGTAACGTGTGCTAGCAAACACAAACATTCATTAACTAAGTATATGTGATAAAAAGGTGAGTGTGAACAGTTAAAATTCATCCTACTCATGATTGAAAACTTTTACTAAATTCATTGAGTGAATCTTATAATTTGAAACAAAAGGAAATGTGGTTCTTGTAATATATGTCTCAGAGAAGATACTGAGCTTATAGCAGTTCTCTTCTTTATTAGATTTTCTAAGAAGTTACATAATCATCAATCTCAATTATAAATGTCATTTTTTATAAACAATGGGGATAATAGGTCCTGTCCATTTTATAATGCAGGGATTCCCATTCTCTGCAGGTTATTTTTGTTGTTGTTGTTGAGAATATATACACGAGAACATATACAAATTCAACAATGTGTCCATGTATAATTCAATAACATAGATTATATTCTTCAAATTGTGCAATCATTCTCACTCTCCTTTTCCTAATTTTTCCTCCCCCATTAACATAAACTCACTGTCCTCCAAGTTTTCTATCTAATCTTTTCATTTGCTATTGTCAATTTGATCCCATATAGTCACCATGGTTTTTTATTTCAACGTTGTTTCGTTTTCAATACAAGTATAATAAACACTCATATTGCTTATGCACAGATTCATAAATTAGTAACATCTTTTCACAGTTGTTTTCTATGTATACATTTATACATTTTACTGAACTCTTCGAATGTAAGTTGCAGACATTATGATATTTAGTTCTCAGTGTGCCCACACAGGTCTCTTAAGGTCTTATAAAGACATTGTCCTACAAATCCACAATACCATGACAATACCTAAGAAAATAAGTTGTTATCATTTGATGCTGTCAAGTCATAGTGACCCTATGTACAGCAGAAGGAAACACTGTCCAGTCCTGCACCATCTTCATAATCCTTGCTAGGTTTGAGCCCTTTATTGCAGTCACTGTGTCAACCATTTCATTGAGGGTTTTCCCTTTTTGTTGACCCTCTGCTTTACCCAGCATGATATCCTTCTCCAGCAACCAGTCACTTCTTACAACATGACCAAAGTACATAAGACCAAGTGTGGTCATTCTTGCTTCTAAGGAGCATTCCAGCTGTACTTCTTTCAAGACAAATTAGTTCATTCTTCTAGCAGTCCATGGTATTTTCAATATTCTTTGCCAACACAATTCATATACATCAATTGTCCTTCAGTCTTCCTTATTCAATTTCCAGCTTTCACATGCATATGAGACTATTAAAAATGCTGTGGCTTGAGTCAGGTGGACCTTAGTCTTTAAAGTGACATCTTTGCCTCTTAATACTTTAAAGAGGTCTTTTGCTGCAGATTTGTCCAGTGCAATATGTTGTCTGATTTCTTAATTGCTGCTTCCATGGACAATGATTGTGGATCAAGGTAAAATAAAATCTCTGACAATGTTAATCTTTTCTCCATTTATCATGATACTGCTTATTGGTCCAGTTGAAGAAGATAAATATTCATTCAATGATATCATTTAATATCATCCCTAATTTTCCTCCTATATACCAATAATATTCTACCTTCTTACATTTTTTGACTTTTTGAAGATACTAATGCCATTTGTCTACTGGAATCCATATATTGAATTTGTTTGATTGTTTCCTTAGGATTGGATTAAGGCGAAGCATTTTAGCAAGGATAATAAGAAAGGCAAAGTCCTTCAATCTTTTTGAAAATATCAAAATATTCATATGTCAGAGTGTTCAAGTATTTGGTGATGTTAAGTTTTGTTGAATTACTAAAATGGTGATTACCTGATTTCTCAATTATGGTGATATAATTTTTAAACTTTGGGATAAATAGATAATTCATAGGAAAATAATTTGAGATTGTCTAAGGATCTTACTCCTCAACATTGTTTTATTCAACCATTTTAGCTTCTATTGATGGCTTTTATGAATCAGTTATTACATTGGAGTTACATAATGCTGGACTTTCTATTATTCATCATGTACTTTCAACTCCTCCTATTCTTCCTGTTCCTCTTCTTTTTCCTCTCTCTCTCTCTCTCTCTCTGTCTTTCTGTTTCTCTCTCTTTCTCTCTGTCTCTGAGAACCACTTCAGACTCATGGTCTGCATTTATCTGTTATTGTTGTAGCTACTATTATTTTATTTCAGTATGTCATGTAAATGCTCACATCTTTTGGTATTTGTCTAATGGGGCCTTTTCAAATTACCTACTGTGTCCTTTTGACCATGACACCATTAGGCTTTAAACACTTCTTGGCCTTAGACTTAGTAAGATTTTGATCACTATCATCATTTGGTACTTCTATGCCAAATATAAGCCATCCGTTCACCCAAGGAATTTTGGGAGCTCTGGTAGCATAGTGGCTAAGGCACTTGACTGCTAACCAGAAGGCTGGCGGTTCAAACCCACCAGCCACTCCTCAGAAGGAAGGTTGGGCAATCTACTTCCGTAGTGATACTGCCTCAGCAACCTAAGGAGGGGTCGCTATGAGTCAGGACCGACTTGACGGCACATAACAACAACATAGTGAGAAAGAATATTTAAAAATCAATGACTGGAATCTAGGTGTGCTTATGGACAGAGAAAAGGCTGAGGGTTGAAGGATGTTGCTGGCACATGATAAACAGGAGTGGAAGGAAATGGGAACAGAAAGGAAGAGGAAAGGAAGTGGAGTCATATCGTGGAACTTTGTGTTTCCTAGTGTAAAGGTTTATATTTTATTTTAAATAAAATGCAGCGAGAAATCATTAAAGGACTCTAAGCACAGGAGTGATCTAACCTGATTCATGTTTTTAAAAGATCACTGGGCTGCAATGTGTTGAAGGAGTTAATTCTACAATAATGGTTTTGTATTCTGGAATTAAATGTATTATTTCCCAATGAAATATAAATGAACAAAACTCATCTCAGAAGAGATAGAAAATTTAAATACATAAAATGAAATTAATTTAAAAATATGTAGATCAGCTATTGCCCTAATAATAGTAGACCAAGATATTGATGAATTTTACTAAATCTGAGATCACAGCTATTTAAAATAAAGCCTTCTGATATTAATTATAAAAGCCATAGACTCAATCACATTTGGATATCAGTGCAAAAATTCTAAACAAAGTACTAGCAAATATTCTTCTTTTCAGTATGACATACTTGGGTGCTTAGAGTACATGACAGGAATCCAAGAGTACTATAACATTAGACTGATTTTTCACATAAATCTCTTCATCTAAATATCGGAGGATAAAAAAAAGATTCTCTGGAGAGCTAAGAAGGAGCTCTGGTAGTATAGTGCCTAAGGCACTTAACTGCTAACCAGAAGGCTGGCGGTTCAAACCCACCAGCCACTCCTCGGAAGGAAGATGGGGCAATCTACTTCTGTAGTGGTACTGCCTCGGCAACCCAACGAGGGGTCGCTATGAGTCAGGACTGACTCAACGGCACATAACAACAAACAACAACAGAGAGCTAAGAATCTGACAGATTTGTGCATTTCCTATCTCCTAATTTTTTTAGATTAAAAAGTCTTAGACCTACCATATCTGTCAGAAGACCATTAGATTCATCACCATAATACCTAAATTCCATCATCTTCAAATAACATTGATTTACCTCTTTTAATCTGAGTCAATACCATATAAAAATGAAACATTTTTCATAAAAACCATTTCTTACTTTGCCTCTGTTAAAGAAAAAAAAAATCAAAGATATTTACTCATATGTGCTTAAAATTTTAAACAATAGAAAATATAAACAATTCCGTTTGTCTATATCCCATTGTAAATATATCATTATGTTGATAGACCAACTGCATAAAACAAAGGCTTTTTCTTGAAATTATTTTTACATCTTAAAGCAATCACACTGAAGCACAAGTCTTATACTCTGATTTGATTTTCATTGAAAGGTAGAGAGAGTCACAAATCAGAAGACACATTAGCACCCAGGCTGGATACTGTTGCTGTTGTTGTTATGTGCTGTCGAGTCAGCCCCGACTCTTAACGACCCCTCCTTGGATTGCCGAGGCAGTATCACTACAGAAATAGATTGCCCCATCTTCCTTCTGAGGAGTAGCTGGTGGGTTTGAACCGCCAGCCTTCTGGTTAGCAGTCAAGTGTCTTAGGCACTATACTATATGTTCCATATTGCAAGAAGAGGGTAAGGGATTTTGCCAAGTGAAGTAAACAAAAGACTACATGCTCACAGGCATGATGTGGTACATGACAAAAAGTTAAAGGGGCTGATACACTATAATCTTTCTTAACATTATCCTTTCTATTTCTTTACCTCCTGGGATGTGTTGACCAAGGCATTCTTCTTGGTCAAGTCATGCAAATATTCTGGACAAACATCTTTTAGCAAGCAATACCTCACATAAGCTAAAATCCTGATCCTTGCTCCTTTTGTGTTATAAGCAGTTAAACTTATACAAGAAGCTAAATTGTCTTTTCAGAAGAGTTAAAGCAATGTTTTTAGGCCAAGCTACAGTTTGATTCAAAATGGAGTTTAATTTAGGTTTCAGACAGCCATGTTAGTCATGCCAATTTGTTGATGTATGGCATTGAATAGGTTCTGACTCATAGTGACCCTCTATGGCAGGATAGAACTGCCCCATATGATTTCCTAGGCTGTAATTTTTATGGGAACAGATGGCCAGGTATTTTCACCCTTGAAGTTGCTGGCAGGTTCAAACTGCCAAACTTTTAATTAGCAGCCAAGTATTTAACCATTGTGTCACTAGGGCTCCTTAATGAAAATGTAACACCTTCATTTTTTCTTGGATTTGTCTTGAAGAAGGAACTCTGGTAGTGTAGTGCTTAAGGCACTTGACTGCTAACCAGAAGGCTGGAGGTTCAAACCCACCAGCCACTCCTTGGAAGGAAAGTTGGGCAATCTACTTCCGTATGATATCACCTCAGAAATCCAAGGAGGGGTCGCTATGAGTCTGGTCCAACTCAACAGCACATAACAATAACAATGTGTTGAAGAAATGAATGAAGAAATAAAGTGAAATAATCTTATCACCAATTCATATGTAAAACCATGATGGTAAAATAGGTGTTCTCCTTGAATTTTCACTGTCACAATTGTTTTTTTTAGAATTTTGTACACTACAAGATTCTTAGCTTAAAAGAGTATCTTATGAAAAATGTGTATATGCTACAAAGAATAAGAGGAAGAACCTTTTATTCAAACATTGAATCCAATTATCCAGATAGAGCAAGAGTTTTGGAAAATGCTTACCCTCCAAAGCAACATATAACTAAAAGCCATACGGAACTGAGACTGGCACAAATGAAAGCGTCCCTCTGTGAGAAGCAGAAAAGAGATTTTATCAATATGAGGGGCAGGAAACACTTTGATTGAGAATAGGAAAAGAAATTTAGGGAAAGTCTCCAGCACTGAGTAAGAGAAAGCCTATGGAGACTCATGTGATGGTAGGGGAGTAATCACGTTTATTGAAAACACTCCCTCTCCCAGCCTCCTAAACGTTCATTATTTAATTCTCACCATCCACCTACAATACAGAGGATTGCATATTATACCTTATTTTATAGATGAGAATATGAAACTCAGAGACATAAAGTAAATTGCTAAGTAGTACCTATGCAGGAAGATGTGGAGATGAAATTTGGTTATGAGTCATGTTGCCTTGAAAGCTGAGCTCAGTGCTTTATGCAACACGTGTTTCCTGACCCATGAGAAAAAGTTACTTCCATGATTTGATTATTATTTAACCACCAAGAAATCTTATCCAAGTTAGATGATTTTCAGCATAGCTTTGACCAAAAGAGAGAAGGAATCAGTTTCAATAGTGAGAGTTCAAAAATTTCTTGGTGAGAAGTTCAAAAACAGACTTTCAAATTCCAATAAGACTAAGACAGGGAGAGTTAACACCGGGCTCTGATTATCCCTGAATATACTGGATAATATGAACTGAGAAATGAGTCCCATGAATATGTAAAGTCCATGGCAATATTCAAGCCCCTTTTGAACATTGGTCTGTTGATTACAAAATGATCACTATCTCTTCTTTTTTACCTACAGCCAATCTCCATTTATATTTCATATAACAGAGAAAATTAATATTGGGATTATTTTCCATAGAAAGTACATTCTAACTCCCAAAATATACCCAAAGAAAAATTAACTGACAATAAATAGAGAAATAGCCAATCATCAAGTTACCATCCCTTTATCTTGTCAGTCAAATTTTCTCTACCTAGTCTCCTTTGTTTCTGACGTTACGTGTGTATATGTATGTGTGGTGGTGGGTGCTTATCTAGAAACACAGAAAATTTTTTTGTTTCTATGAATTCCTAATAAACCATGCTCAAAGCAATCCTAAAAGTAAACAAGTGCTTAATTTTAATTGTGGATAATAATGATACTGTATTCATTTTGTGACATTGAATTTATAATAAAATAATCTCTTTAATTTTGCAGGTTGTTTGGGCCATTTCTTATCTCATTGGTTGTGGTGTTACATTATGTGGTGAAAGAAGATCAAATAGATATCTCTACATTTGTCACTATTGTCATGAGTATGTATATGATACAATTTAGTGTCTTACAATTTTGAATGATGCATTCTCTTAAAAGAGCACAATCTAGTCTTTCAATCCTTAAACAAGAGAATTCAATTCGTTCATTTCAATTAGGTAGATTGTTAGGCATTTTCGTAGTGTGTAGTGCTGGTGTAAGAGAAATACCACAAATGGATGGCTTTAACAAACAGAAATTTATTCTCTCACAGTTTAGGAAGCTAGGAGTCTGAATTCTGGATGTTAGGTACAGGGGAAGGCTTCTCTCTCTGCTGGCTCTGGTGGAAAGTCCTTGTCTCCTTTCAACAACTGTGGGTGCAGCATTCATTGGAGATCTGCATGTGTCTTGGCATCAATCTTCCCTTGGGTCTAAGAAATTCTTTGTGTGGGGAACTCAGGTCCAAAAGGTGTACTCCACTCCCAGCTCTTCTTTCTTGGTGGTACTGAGGTGACACAATTCCTATGGCATTTGACTGCTAACCAGAAGGTCAGAGGTTTGAACCACTCCACAGAAGGAAGATAGGGCAGTCTGCTTTCATAAAGATTTACTGCCTTTCTGCCTTCAAAACACAATGGGGTCACTATGAGTCAGAATTGACTTGGTGACAGTGAATTGGTTTAGTGTATATATATACAATCACTTGGGGTATGTGGTAGCACAGCAGTCCCCCTTCCTCACAATGCCATCTCCAACATCATGGACACCATGAGGATTGGGGATCATGGTGGTGGTCAGGTATTTCCCACCGCCCACTGCCTTCTACCACCTCTCCTGAGGGGTTACCTCATTTGTCCTCCATCCAACTGAGACCCATAGCCCCACATGGCACCCTTTTTTCTCCCTTCCTTTTAGTCTACCCTCCCTGACTTCTCTGGTACCTTCAGGTCCTTGCTTATCCTCTCCTGCCTGCTCTTGAGTTCACTGTCATCTGCCATTGCTCTGTGCCTGCCATAGCCAGATTGGAACATCATAGATGAATGAGAGAAGGCATCTTGTGACTGGCTGGCTGCTATTTCTCATGTGGCCCAATTGTCTCCAGGGCCTCCAGTATATGGTTCAGGGTGATCCATGGAGGGCACCCTGGGCCTGACATGAAGCATGGCCTGAGAATTTTTCCAAAGTTGTCATAAATGTGAAATGTCAGATAACAAGATAGCTAAAAAGTGAGGAGTAGGTGCATTATATGTTTACTCAATCAATCTGTGACTCGTTAACAGAATGGAAAAATCTGGAAATATTTCTCAGTAGCTTTATGTGTTGTTGATTCTTCAAATGGTGATTACTTAAGGATATCAAATTTGAATATCCAAAGGGACAAAGTCATTTATTTCAAGAATATGAGTATCTTAACAAGTCAAGTAGCATCTCAAGTAGGAAGAGCACTGAAAAAACTACTTTTCCTTCAACTTAGCTGTTTAGCACAGAGGTTCATCCTAAGTTTATATGTTGTTGCTGTTGTCGTTAGGTGCTGTTGAGTCATCTCTGACTCACAGCAACCTCATGTACAGCAGAATGAAACACTGCCCATTCCTGTGCCAGTCCCATGATCCTTGCTATACCTGAGCCCATCATTGCAGCCACTGTGTCAGTCCATCTCATTGAGGGCCTTCCCCTTTTTCATTGTCCCTCCACTTTGCCAAGAACGATATCCTTCTCTGAGCAATGGTCCTTTCTTACAACATGACCAAAGTAGTGAGATGAGGTCTGGCCATTTTTTGCTTCCAAGAATAATTCAGGCTGCACTTCGTTCAGGACAGATCTGTTAGTTCTTTTATCAGTCCATGGTACTTTCACTATTCTTTGCCAATACCACAACTCAAAAGCATCAACTCTTCTTCGGTCTTCCTTTTTCTTTGTCCAGCTCTCACATGCATATGAAGCAATCGAAAATACCATCGCTTGTGTCAACTGCACCTTAGTCTTCAATAATCTTTGCTCTTCAGCATTTGAAAGAGGTCCTTTGCAGCAGATTTGTCCAATGTTGTATGATGTCTGATATTTTGACTGCTGCTTCCATTGGCGTTGCTTATAGAATCAAGTAATATGAAGTCTTTGACAACTTCAATCTTTTCTCCATTTATCACAATGCTGCATATTGGTCCCTTTGTGAGGATTTTTGCTTTCTTTATGTTGAGGTGTAATCCGTACTGCAGAATGTAGTCTTCAATCTTCATCAGTAAGTGTTTCAAGTCATCCTCACTTTCAGCAAGTAAAGTTGTGCCATCTGCATAATGCAGGTTGTTAATGAGTCTTCCTCCAATCCTGATACCAAATTCTTCTTTATAGAGTCCACCTTCTCAGATTATTTGTTCAGCACACAGATTGAATAAGTATGGTGAAAGGATGCAACTCTGACACACTCTCTTCTTGATTTTAAACCATGCAGTGTCCCCTTATTCTGTTCAAACAACAGCTTCTTCTCTATGTACAAGTTCCTCATGAGCAAAATTAAGTGTTCTGGAATTCCCATTCTTCTCAATGTTACCCATCATTTGTTATGATGTGCACAATCGAATGCCTTTGCATAGTCAATAAAACGCAAGTAAACATCTTTCTGGTATTATTTGCTTTGAGCCAAGATCCATCTGACATGAGCTATGATATCTCTGATTCTATGTCCTCATCTGAATCCAGCTTGCATTTCTGGAACTTTTCTGTTGATATACTGCTGTAACCGTTTTTGAATTATCTTCAGTAAGATTTTACTTGAGTGCGATATTAATGATATTGTTCTACAATTTACACATTCTGTGGCATCACCTTTCTTTGAAATGGATACAAATATAGATCTTTTCCAGTCAGTTGGCCAGGTAGTTGTCTTCCAAATCTCCTGGCATAGCCGAGTGAGTGCCTTTAGTACAGCATATGCTTGTTGAAACATCTCAATGGGTATCCTGTCAATTCCTGGAGCCTTGTTTTTGCCACTTCCCTCAGTGCAACTTCAAATTCTTCCTTCAATACCATTTGTTCTTGATCATATGCCACCTCCTGAAATGGATGAACATCAACCAATTCTTTTGGTACAGTGACTCTGTGTATTCCTTCCATCTTCCTTTGATGTTTCCTGCATCATTCTATATATTGCCCATAGAATCTTTCAATATTGCAACTCACGGCTTAAATTTCCTCTTCAGCTCTTTCAGCCTGAAAAATGCTGAGTGTGTCCTTCCCTTTTGGCTTTCCAACTCCAGGTCTTCGTACATTTCATTATAATAATTACTTTGTCTCCTTGAGCTGCTCTTTGAAATCTTCTGTTTAGTTCTTTTATCTTGTCATTTTTTGCTTCAGCTACTCTCCTTTCAAGGGCAAGATTCAAAGTCTCTTCTGATATCCATTTTGGTCCTTTCTTCCTTTCCTGTCTTTTTAATAACCTTTTGCTTTCTTCATGGATGATGTTCTTGATGTCATCATATAATTCCTCTGGTTTTTTGTCATTGGTGTTCAATGCATCAAATCTATTCTTCAGATGGTCTCTAAATTCATGAGGGATATAAACAAGTATCTTGGACTTGTTTTAAGTGTCTTTAACTTCTTCTTGAACTTGCAAATAAGCAGTTGATAGTCAGTTCCACAATCAGCTCCTGACCTTGTTTTAGCTGAAGATATTGAGCGTCTCCATCACCTCTTGCCACAGATGTAGTCAATCTGATTCTTGTGTACTCCATCTGGTGAATTCACATGTACAGCTTCCATTTGTGTTGTTGAAAAAAAGGTATTTGTAATGAATAAGTCATTGGTCTTGCAAAATTCTACCATGCTATCTCCAGCATTATTTCTATCTCCAAGGCCAAATTTTCCAACTACCGGTGATTCTTCTTTGTTTCCAATTTTTGCATTCCAGTCACCAGTGATAATCAGCACATCTTGATTGATGTTTGGTCCATTTCAGACTGCAGAAGTTGGTAAAAAAATCTTCAATTTCCTCATCTTTGGCTTTGGGAGTTGGTGCATAAATTTGAATAATAGTAGTATTAACTAGGTTTCCTTGTAGGTGTATGGATATTATCCTATCACTGACAGCATTGTACCTCAGGATAGATCTTGAAATGTTCTTTGTGACTATGAATGCCACACCATTCCTCTTCAATCTGTCATTCCCAGCATAGTAGATCATATGGTTATCTGATTCAAAATGGCCAAAACTGGTCCATTTCAGTTCACTAATGCCTAGGATATCAATCTTTATGTATCCCATTTCATTTTTACAACTTCCAATTTTCCTAGAGTCATATTCATACATTTCATGTTCTGATTATCAATGGATGTTTGCAGCTGTTTCTTCTCATATTGAGTCATGCCACTTCAGCAAATGGAAGCTCTGAAAGCTCTACTTTATCCTTATCATTAAGGTTGGCTCTATTCTGATGAGGCAGCTCTTTCCCAGTCATATTTTGAGTGCCTTCTGACTTGAGAGGCTCATCTTCTGGCACTGTATCGGACAATGTTTCAGGGCTATTCATAAAGTTTTCCAGTAATATATCAGAGAGTCACTACTATTCATAAAGTATAGTCTCTTCTTTCTAAGAATAGAAAGAAGGAAGGATGGTCTCTTCCTTTTTCTGAGTCTGTCTCAGTCTGGAAGCTCCACTGAAACCAGTCCACCATGGGCACCCCTGCTGGCAGAGCCTCAGCCTCACAGCAACACACAAGCCACCCCAGTTTATATGTTACAGACATTATAACAATTGCAAGTCAGAATTTCTACAAAAGATAATTTGATATTAAGTAAAGATCAGAGAATATCAATATTATATCCTTAGACTTTTAGAGATAAGAATTGTCTTCTCCAAAGTTTCAGGTTTTCCCAAATCTGGAGATTCTCATCTATTTTCTTCCTCCTCTCCTCTCTTCAACACATTAGTTTTATCCGAGTTCCTATTATTTCTTCTTTTATATACCCTATATTTTCCTATCAAAGACAAGTGTGTAAATTCTTTTTTGTGTGACATAGTACAAAGAGATAAAAACATTTCAAATTTTGATTCACTTAAAATGTTTTCTTAATTATGTTAAGAATCACTTTGTAGTGATATTTGTTAAGTCCTTTTGGGTACAGATTAAGAATATTGTCCCACTATAAGGAGTTCTAAAGGAGCTCTGGTGGCATAGTGTCTGAGGCATTTGACTGCTAACCAGAAGGTTGGAGGTTCATACCTACCAACCCTTCTGCAAAAGGAAGATTGAGCAATCTACTTCCATAAAGATTTACAGCCTCAGAAACCCAATGTGGGTTGCTATAAGTCAGAATCTACTTGATGGCAGTGAGGTTGGATTTTTTTTTTTTTTTTTTTTTTTGTATAAGGAGCTCTGGTGATGCAGACCATAAAGAATTTGACTGCTAACCACAATGTCCGTGGCTCAAAGCCACCAGCCACTCCACAGAAGGAAGATGGGGCAATCTACTTTTGTAAAGATTTACTGTCTTGGAAACCCAATAGGTGTTGCTATGAGTAGGAATCTACTCAATGGCAGTGGGTTATGTAAGTGGCTCTAGAGTATTTTTGCTTCCTAGATTTGTACTGTCTGAAAGTTCCATGGAAGAGGTGCAAATTGTTTGGGGGGGGGGATTTTTTTTTCCTTGCAGAGTTACCAGTTATCCATCTCTCTCTTTCTCTCTCTCTCTCTCTCTCTATATATATATATATACACACACACATACATACATATATGTTGTTGTTATGTGCTGTCAAGTCAGACTCAACTCATAGCAACCCTCCTTGGGTTTCCGAAGCAGTAGATTGCCCCATCTTCCTTCTGAGGAGTGGCTGGTGAGTTTGCACTGCCAGCCTTCTGGTTAGCAGTCAAGTGCCTTAGGCACTATGCTACCAGAGCTCTTATATTCCTATGTGTGTGTGTGTATGTGTGTGTGTGTATGTGTGTGTGTGTATGTGTGTGTGTATAAAATCATCATTTCATCATCATTATACTCTAGAAATCTCACATTTATCTAAATATTGTGCCTGGTTTTATCTAAGGTGCTTTCTACAACTTGATTTTAAAATTGTTCAGTGAGTAAAATGTAATATCTATTTCCAAATGTGAATTTTTTCTTTTTTATCTTCATTAAGGGGAAATGATTATAAGAAAAATAAACCTTATAAAGATGGACTCCCATGTGCAGACTGTCCTGATGCCTGTGAAGATAGACTTTGTAGTAAGTGTTACAAATTCAGTTTGTTTAATGTAAGATGTTGATCTGAAACCCATGTGTTGTTTAAATCAAGCATTTAACAATAGTATTCTTTTCTACAAATATCATCCCACATTTCCCACAGAGAAAATGACTATTATTTTTACTCATTCTCTCATCTAACATCTGGAGATGTAAATAAGTTTATTTATTTAATCCATTGTAACAAAAATTAGAATATCTGGATCTTAGAACTCAAGTTATCACATCAGAAACTTAAACAAAATAAAACAAAACAAAACTACCATGGAGTCAATTCTGACTAATTGTGATCTCATGTGTTGTACAGTAGAACTACATGACCTTTTGGAAGTAATGTCCAGGCCTCTTTTCTAAAGCATCTCTTAGTGAGTTCAAACCACCAACCCTTTTGTTAGCAGTCGAGTGCTTACCCATTTGTGCTTACCCATTTTTGAAACTCTGCCCAAAAGCTTGTTGTTTTGGTGGTGGTTATTTGCCTTCAAGTAAATTCTGACTTATAGCAACTCCATGTATGCAAAGTAGAACTGCTCCATAGGGTTTTCAAGGCTGTGAACTTTTGGAAACAGATGATCGTGTCTATCTTCCAAGGCACCTCAGGTGGATTCGACATACAACTTTTTCCTGTAATTGATAGTCTTTAGTAATTGATATTCTCTCTCTCTTTTTTTTTTTCCCTGAAACATCAGAAGATGTTATCTGAGGTGCACACTTACAGTCTTTCCTTTCATTTCTCAAGTACATCTTATTTAAAGTGAAGTATTAACTATGTGGGTCCCAATTACATGTTAGTTCTCTGAACAAAATTTCCTTTTATTAAGGCCTCCCCACAAACATAATTCCTTAATCCTTAGAAATACTTTTGAGTAAGGTAATTTTAAAGAAGTCTGTGGGGAACTACCAAACACAGGAAAAATGCCCTGGGTCTGCAGACTTGGAAGGTCAGACAGCTCATTTTCCTTCACCAATGATCTACTTTTAAGCTAAGGAGAATGCATTTCTTTTCCACATTTTCACCTTATTTTTGTAATACATTTATATATTTTTCCACATTCTACTCCCTCCAGCATCTGTTTTCGTACCTCATTTCTGACATTTCAATACAAACCAGCAGAGAGGAGCAAACAAGTGCTCTTGATCGTCATTGGGTTTGTGGATGTTGAGGGGGCTAAACCAGTATAGTTGGAGGAAGATGACAAATAATAATAATAAAACCAATTTTCTGTGCATATTATTGTTGTTGTTAGGTGCCATTGGGGCATTTCTGACTCATTGCAACCCTATGTATAACAGAATGCATCTTAGTTGGGTTTGACATATAACTTTTTCCCTCATAATTTATTCTGTGCACAGTAGGGTGTAAGTTTTATTTATTTATTTATTTATTTATTTATTTATTTTTATTTGGGTGAAGATTTACAGAGCAAATTCACTTTCCATAAAGCAGTTCACATATACTTTGTCTCATGTTATTGACCACACTTTACCACAATGCAACAGCTCCCCTCCCACTTCCTCCCCATAGTTACCTCTTCCCAGTGACCATCCCTCCGTACTCTCCTGTGCCCTGAGCTGTCTCCCTGTGCATAAGCAGCCCTTCCTTCTCCCATGATTGTTCTCTC